CCCCCGCCCAAGAAAACAAATCAGTTCCATGTGTCAGTTTTAAAACCTGATCCAGACTGTTTATGTACACCACTTCTTAAAAGGTGCAGTAGCTCACATGTGCAAAAACTGGTTGCTCAGATTAGCAGCTCTTCGTTCTGAGTTAGTATCTTTAAGTGGTGATGGTTCCACATCCAAGCCCAGAACTGTTGCTTTTAATTATCCTCAGACATAACTGGAGACCCCCCCCCCAACACACACACACACACTAAGTTTTCAGACTTGCTCATCTGTTTACATTGCACATGAGTGAACAGACAGCTGAACTGCAGGGTGATGAGGGAAACTCAGGAAACAGCAGCTGAAATGAACTGTTTCAGTACAAGATKGATTTTTTTTACATTATTTCCTTGAAATTATTGTAAAGTCTCTTTTTGCCTTTTTTTAAGCTATTTTTGTGTTTTTCTACCCACCACCGACATCCCTGGAAAACTGAGATTTACCTGAATTTAGAGCAATTTGTTGATTAATTTAGCACAATTAATGTGATCCACATTTTCTGAATCACAAGTCAAAGAAACAGGAGGACCGCTTGAAATCATGATTGCACCTCATCTGATCTGATCCTAAACAAACACTGTCTGGGTGCTTCAGGCATGAAACGTGGGGATAGCTGCAGTAATAAACTGTTTTCCTGCATTTCTGTTGTATTTCATTAAATGAGTCACACACAGTCTTATACAAGTGTTGTAAAAAAGAAAATTCACTGATGAGATTTACTGATAGATGTCCTCTTCAGATGTAGTGTTGTGTTCACAGTTTGATATAGGTCATCATGTTCTTAAAGGGATTCGACTCTCTGCCTCTGACGAGACCGATGGCCTCATTCTTTTTGGTGACAAGCTTTGTTTAAGAAGTCAGTCCTGGCACTTAGGCCTAAATGTAAATTTTATGAATTTGCTTTGTGTAATTAACACTTGAAAAATCAGAACTAGTGGCAACAACTTTCCCATTTAAAGCCATAATAGTTGTCAAATACACAATTTTCTTATACCAAATTGTGTTAAACACGATTTGTTCTTTATAAATCATGCAGTAGACTTTTGGTAGTAAATGATGCATACTTAGTGGTTGTTTTTCATTATAGATGATACGCATCAACATTGAAAATGTGTGCATTTACGGCCCTAAAACAAAGCTCTTGCTGCAGAGTTCAGTCAGTTTGATGGTTGTGACTAAATACTGACTGAGTCCTTTGTAATTCGACTCAGCTGCAGACCGCCAATCTTAGGCAGTCGGTGAGGCAGCTGCTGTACTTTGATTTGATTATCGTCATCTGTGAAAATGGCATTTCACAGGGATAAGTGGAGTCAAA